TGGAAACTTTTATTGGCTTTATCCACTCAATCGTTATTGGAACACAAGAAGGTTGTTAAAAAAAACACATGGCAGAAGCGTTATTATTTTCTTGGCAGAGGGTTCAATAGGGATAAGTTGCGAAAGCAAAAATGAGGACTTTTGCAAGGGACAGCATGTAGATGAAGTGAATGAGCAATGCAAATAAATTCTATTTTATTCTCTGAAAGGAGGAAATATATACTTTACGGTATTTTGCTATTTTCTTGTAATTGTATAAGCGCCTTTGCTGTAAGTATTGACATATATATTATGCCGCATTCGTCTGAAATAGAGAAATATTGTTTGATATACAGGGGCATGTGTGTGAGTGTTAAATTATTTTCAACTAGAAAATTTACAGAGCACATTATAATACATTATTAGTCCAAAAGGGGCTAGCCATAAAAATTATCCTCCCTGTATTATTTTTTAACGAAATTAAATAATGGAAAATCTGCATGCATATATGTATGTTCCTCGCATTGTGAAAAAATGGCGGTAGTTAGAGCCGTCAGATTTTAAGTGCACCTAGAAGTCTGAATTTAGAATTTAGAATTTCTTTTATTTTATTTATTTCGTATTTTTAAAACTTTAATAAATTTATAACTTACAAATTCTACGATTCGAAAGCGAGCAGTGGCAACGCTCTTAGAAAGAAAACATTTTTAACTGCAGCGCGCGAGATTGTTGCCATTCGTAAAAATGTAAAATCTTTCAGTTTTAATTAACAAACTTTGCTCTGTGAAAGCAATGTGTAATAGCGATCGGAAATAAAATACTTACGCCCAAAGTGACTTTTTTTAACGTTTTGTGTGTTACCTTTATTTATATTTCTTATTTCTTCGCACTTAAACCACATAAAATTCAATTCAACAACAATATCACAAAATATTTTAAAACAGCATATATTTAAAATTTCCGATAGACAGTCTCGCACCCTGAAGATTTTTTTTTTTTTTTTTTTTTCTGTACAGTGTTGCCATTGCTTGCTTTGAAATCGCGGAGTTTGTTAATAAAAAATTCTTCTAAGTTTTACAAAATGTGAAATAGATAATAAAACAAATTCGAAATTACAAATTCGGGCTTCCAGGTTTCCATGTTCGGTAAGGGGATTACGTTATTCAAAAATCTGATGGCTCTATAGGTACCGTTGTTTATTCACAATGCGAGAAAAATACCAACATTCATGCACATAATCCTTTATTTAATTTCTTTCGAAATAATACGGGGAGATAATATTTGGTGGCAACAATTTGAAAATTATTCAGCCTTTTTCAGTGATCCAACGGAAAATCTCGTTCCAAGCCTAATAGCCCATCTGGAGATAACGCTCCTTTCGGCTAAAAATTTTCAAAGGTTTCAGATTTTAACGGTCCCCCATAAGGGTTTATTTACACTCTCGCTGAGCTCGCAGTCTGCCAGTCTGTTGTTGCACTCACTGCTTCTAACCTAATCTTTTTTTGCTTTATTATTAAGCATGGTTTTCTTCGTATATATAATTCAACAGCAAGGTTACGAAAGCATCATATACTTAGAATTACTAATACAGTGTTAGTTTGGTTTATTTTTTATGGCAAAACACTTGAGGACTATTTGCCTAAGGGAAGGGAAGCCTTCATGGAGGACTTTCTGAGGGAATCTGGCTCGTATTCACGTTATACATTGGGAAGATCACGAAAACGCCCATGCAGCTAGCTGTTCGTCAGGAGAAAAAAACTACCAATGTTTTACCGCTCGGACGCCGGTGGGGGCTGTATTCAGCGTTAAGTGTTGGCACAAATTTATATTTTTTTTCAGTCTTCTCTCATTTCTTTATATCAATGTTCAGTTTTTCTTAGTAACAGGCCTTGCAAGACCTTTGTCTTTTTTTTTTTTTTTTTTTTTATTAGTCTAAAAGAGGGTGTTAGCCCAAATGGGCTATTAATCTACACAAGATTTTACACTTCATCACTATAAAGTCGGAATCACTTTGCAAATAGTTGCCACCAAATATTGTCACCCTATATTACAAAGAAATTAAATAATGAAGAATAATCATGAATGTGTGTTTCTCTCATTGGGAGAAAAAGACGGTACCTAAAGCCATCAATTTTTTAGTAATGTAGTCCTCCACCCTAACGTGGACACCCAAAGCCCCAAATTTTGAATTTCGAATTTATTTTATTTGTTTTATTTTCTACGTTTTAAAATGTTAATGAAATTTTTATTAACAAACTCAGCAATTTCAAAGCGAGCAGCGGCAAAACTGTACGAAGCAAAACATTTTTTCCTCCAGCGCACGAGTCTGTCTGTCGGAAATTCTAAATATATGCTGTTTTCAAAATAGTTTGGGATTTTGCTGTTGAGTTGAATTTTATGTAGCATAAGCACCAAAAGCAGGATATTTGATAAATAAAGTTAACACACAAAATTTTAATAATGAAAGGACAAAAAAAAAAAAACATGTTTTGTAAACCGTCTTAGTAAGAAAGCTGAAGACTGATGTTATAAATTGAGAAAAGACTGAAAAAAATAAATAAATAAATAAATAAAGGAAACATATTATGCCAACACTTGACATTGCATCGGGAATTCTAAACATATACTGCTATGCTACTTGTATAAGTGCGAAGAAAACGATGTTTAATGATAAAGCTAAAAAGAAAAAAAAGGGATGTGCAATTAGCAGGAGTGAGTGGTGGAACTATGGAGGTAGGAAATAAGGTAGGAATTATTCTCATGAATGCAACAGCAGACTGGTAGACTGCGAGCTCAGCGAGAACGTAAAAAATCTTAGCGAACCCTTTTTTGGACGATCGTTAAAATTCCTTACAGATTTTTTTAAATTAACGTTTTCTTAACTTTATGTATTAAACATCACGTTCTTCTCACTTACGCCACATAAAATTCAACAACAAAATCAAAAAATATTTAAAACCAGAAAACAGCATGTGCTTGAAATTTTCGATAGACAATTTCGCGTTCTGGAGATAAAAATATTTTATTCCGTACAGTGTTGCCACTACTCGCTTTCAAATCGTTGAGTTTGTTAATCAAAAATTCATTAAAATTTTTCAAAATAGGAAATAAATAATAAAATATATATAACGTCATTCTGTGAAAATACTGAGTATATGTTATTAAATAAATCATGAATTAAATGCATTTTTATAATTTAAATGAATCCGATTCAAAAGTATAAAACGAATATTCTTAAGAACTGCATCTATTGCTTTGAAAAAGCTTAGTTTGTTAATCCACAACAGAGAGAATCAGTTTGAAAGATAATAATTTTACATTTTACAGAATGGCTCGAATGAAAAATGAAAAGAAGCATTTATATTGATTTGACGTAAAATCCCATTTCGAGACTAATAGCCCCTTTTGGGCTAAAAATGGGTTAACAAGAGCAAACTATTGTAAGTACGAGGTGTATTCGGAAACTAAATACCGTTTTGAAAAGAAAAAAAAAAATAGTAAAACAATTTTTTCGAATCCAATTTTATTTTTACATGAAAATACATGTCTTAAACTATTTTTCAACATAGTTTCCGCCAATGATCAAACACTTGTCATAGCGGGTGACCAGTTTTTGTATACCATCGTCAAAGAAACTTCCCGCCAGTTTCGATAACCACGACTCCACAGCATTTTTCGTGTCATCGTCAGATCCAAAGCGCTTGCCACCAAGCTTGCGCTTCATGTGCAGGAACAAGTGATAGTAGGACGGCGCCAAGTCCGGCTGTACGGCGGGTGATCGAACTGCTCCCAATGAAACTGTCGAATTAACGATTGAGTGACACCAGCAGTATGGGGCCGAGCATTGTCATGGAGCAACACAATTCCTTTACTGAGCATTCCTCTTCGTTTGTTTTGAATGGCACGCCTTAGTTTTGTTAAAGTCTCACAATATCGTGCCTCATTAATGGTTTCACCTCTGGGAAGAAATTCAGTAAGCAAAACGCCTTTCCTATCCCAGAAGACAGTGCACATGATTTTTTGTGATGACATTGTCACTTTGAACTTTTGTTTTTTCGGAGAATGAGTGTGTCTCCACTCCATCGATTGTTGTTTCGATTCTGGTGTGAAATGACGCACCCAAGTTTCATCACCTGTCACAATTTGGTTTAGAAAGTTTTCTCCCTCATCACTGTACGCCTGAGAAATGTCAGTGCACTACAAAGTCGCTTTGTTTTGTGAACATCAGTGAGCATTTTTGAAACCCATCGGGAACACAGTTTGCGATAATTCAAGTGGTCAGACACAATTTCGAACAAAACAGTACGTGAAATTTGTGGAAATGCCTCTGAAAGAGTTGTCATTGTGAAGCGTCTGTTCTCATTAATTGCTTCATCAACTTTCCTTACCAAATCATCGGTGACAACAGAAGGCCGACCACTCCGAGCCTCGGCGTGGACATTTGTTCGACCTGCATTAAACATTCTTACCCACTTTCTCACCATTCCATCACTTATCGCGTATTCACCGTAAACTTCTGTCACTTGACGATAAATTTCGGCCGGTTTAACATTCCTCGCGTTCAAAAATTTAATCACGGCACGAATCTCACAGTCAGCGGGAGAACTAATTGTCTTAAACATTTTGAATGTGCACAGCAAGCTGAAAACACAACACAGAGCAACCAAAATGGCGACAATTGAAAGTCAGTGAACAAGAAAGACTATGCGCGGGACGCCTACCATAGCGCTGCGACGGCGCTAGAATGAAACGGTACTTAGTTTCCGAATACGCTACGTATACTACAGAGCTCAGCCAGAGGGAAAAAAGATCTTAACAAACGCCTTTTGGGTGATTGTTAAAGTCTGAAACCTTTTAGATTTTTTTAAAAGTTTTTTTTTAAATTTATTTCATAATAATAAAGACATTCCGTTTAAAATAAGACTGTTCATTATTTTTATTACTAAGGTGTAAGTCTGATAATTTATGTATCTGTATTAGTTGTATAAATGGACTGAAATTGCATTTGAGCTTATACTTGCCTCAGATCAGTTTCACTGGGAGTGTATTTTCGACTTGCAGCTTCATTATCCTGTATATCGTACTCATCGAGAATATTATCCAGTATTTCCAAAGAATGCCTGACATCACGAGGAACATCTGCCATATTCCTGCAGTAAAATAAATACCTACATTCATTAAAGTATACTTTTTATTTAAATGGATTTCAGAATTTTGCATTGCAAATAACACTGATAATTTGCTTTTAACGAATCTTTTTATTTATTTAGAATACATAATGTTCAAGAAGCCTTTCAGCGCTATGCAAAGTACCTGTAATTAAATTTCACATACTCCGAACTCTCAATAGCTATAAGTAATCACTAGAAAGTTATGAAATTTAAGAAGCGCTTTAACGGAGAAATTAAAGCCACGAAAGAATTAGTTCCAGTTTCCCACAATTAGTCCTCTAAAGGGCGCTTCTTTGCGCGAAATGTAGACCGCATACTAGGTTCCGTAACCATTTAACACAGGAGTGGGCAAAAGCCGGCCAGCGGGCCGAGTTTGACCCTTTTAATTACTTCCCAACCTTTATAAAATCCTTTCCAACGTCATTTTCATCTCTTTCCTACCCGATTCCGTAAGCAAACTACCGACATTAAAGCACGAGTGCGCATTTGTTGTTACCATGGATATGCGTATATCTACGGATGTTCATATTATCGGTCATGTTAAGCTGAGAACACTGGATATGCTGCAAAGCATCCGCATCCGCCGAAGAATGTAGTCCTGTCATTTCTAGCAGCTTTAATTTAGAAACTGAACGATGAAATAAAAATATTGATCAGGAAAAGGGAAAGAGCATTTCCACTCCTAAATGTTTATTTGAAAATGAAACAGCTTACACGTCGATCATCTGATGACCAATAGGAACAGATCGCGTTCTTGTTTGGAGAAACTACAAGTTGACAGTAACCATTCTGAGAATACTAAATATTTTTCACGGGGAAATTTTAAGAATTTCATTAGAGACGTTGAAATGAGCCAGGATGGACAACAGAGTATTTATTTGTAAATGTAAATAATAAAGAAATCTATTTAACTTGCCAAAAGACTATGTTTCTTTGAACACAGTAGATAAGAAGCATTATTCAACAAAGCATTGGAAATATGAGTAAGTTTCATACTTCGAAATATTTCATCGTCTAAGCAGCCACGAAAGCTACTTATATTGTTGCACATAATGTTAGTAAGTTGTGTAAGCCGTTTACTGAAGCAGATTTTGTCGATGGAAAACTATCGGAAATACGTTGTCCTGAAAAGAAACGAATGTTTGAAAATGGAAGCCTGTTTAAAAGAACAGTAGTACGGAGGACTGAAAATATTTCACAGAATTTATTTGATTAGTTAAGTAAAAAAAAAGTGCAGATTTTAATTATTGTTATCTTGCTTTAGACGAATCCTGCGATATAACTAATACAATTATTAACATTTATTCATGGCATATATAAGAAATTCGAAATAGCAAATAACTGGTTAGCATATATTCGATGAAAGATACGACTACCCGAGAAGACTTTTTTATGGCTGTTGAGGAGTGTCTAATAAGAGTTGAAGAGTGCCCAATGGCTAATGAAGAGTATTTCCAAGTTGCGGCAAAGTCGTCATCATTGTCATGGAAGACTTTCCTAGCTTGACAGAAAAAAAAAATATTAGCTTATTAAAAAGAATACGTGATGAAATAAAAGCGAAGCAGTCATAGCACGAAACAATTTTTCTGCATTCATCAAGAAGCGCTTTGTGAAACAGTTTTAAAACTCTGTCATATTGTTAATGTTATAACAAAATTAGGGAGTTTAATCTGCGGACGAGCCCTGAATCATCGGTAGTTTAGAGATTTCTTAAGAGATATTGAAACTGAGTTTTACGAATTACCATAGTATACAGTATGCGATCGCTTAGCATGGACAAGGTTTTGAAGAGATTTAGCAGTTTGTTTGATGAAATCGTAATTTTCTTGCCTATTAAAGAAAAAAAAAATAACAACTTTCTTAAACCTCAAAATGTGGAATGATAAATGATTTCTCCTTTTCTGTTGACATACTAACTTATTTGAGCAAACTAAATATTACATTCCAGGAAAACAAAAGTAATTCGCTTTTGATAAGCGATAAAAAATCAAAGAATTTATGACAAAATTTAATTTATTAGCTGAAACTTCAATGGAGAAACAGTTAAAACACTTTTTAACATTGGAAGCCCGTCGAGAAAACTTGAGAAATGTGGATTTTTTTAAAGTATGGAAAAATAGCAAAAGCTGCTCCAGTTAAGATTCAGTTAGAACTGATTGATTTGCAGTTGGGTCATTTGTTAAAGAAAAATTTTCATTGAAGAAACTGAACGGTTTTTTTGTGGTTCCCTGAATGCACATAAATTGAAACATTTTCTGGATTATGTCACAAGTATTTAACTTTATTTGGATCCACATATTTCAGCGAAAGAATGTTTTCGTTAATGAAGTATAGGAAAAATAATATCGACCACAAATTACTGATGAAAATTTTCATTTGACATTAAGGACTGAGCTGGAACCTTATTTGTTTATCGGTGAGTTATCATCCCATCTATGGAAATAACAACTGTGTCAGAAGAAGGTTTAAACAATCGTTTTTCATTTCAAACTTAAGAGACACATGCCTTATGCTAATAATTTAATCTTCGGTATTTGCAGGATTACAGAAACTCAAAGTAATTTGATAATTTTATGCTGAAAATTAAAAACTGCAAAAACATAACAAGCGTCACTTCATTTATAATTCGCAGAGATGGAAGAGGGAATAATACTAATGTTGGTGTCGCTGCCAAACCTCTCTGTCTAGATTTTAAGAAATCTGTTCTTACATATATGTATCTCATTTACATTTTCGTGAGAGCTAATAAAAATAGAATTGATAGATTAATTAATATAAAATACTCTACATATTCTTCTGAAGTAAGAGTATGATTCGAGCATTCTGCATCATTCATTCTCGGATTATTTTTATCATATCAGCTTGCTTCCACAAAGTCCATCTTGGGTTTCTGCGTTGAGGCACATCAACGTCTTGCAACAACAGTCTTTGTGCAGAATGGTGCAACAGCGTTACACGGATGCTCAAAAACCATTTTGAAAATGAAAGAGAAATTAATCGCCATTTCTCTAATGTTTGGCATTACCTGAATCCACGTCCCCACGTCTGAATGTGTGAATTTTAATTCTGAGGCTGTTCGAAAGACATGGTCTTCAGTGACAATGTAATATCTGTACAAGTTCTGGAAGAATCTATATCTATAATATTTCAAAGCATGCACTACTCAGTAATTCAAAGGATACACTATAATCCACTGTTGGAGATTCCAAATGCTTAAAATATTTTTCTTATAAAAACATATTTTAAATCTAATGAATGCAAAGTAATAATCAGTATTTACTTATAATCATGTATTGTGCTCATAAAGATATGGCAATTCAAAAGTAGCTCAAGAAGAAGCAGTACTTACAGCCACTATAATTGCTATGAAAATTTTTAAGATCCCTCAAATTGTTTAGAAAGTATTGAAGAAATAAGGAAACAAAAAACTTAAAAGTTTTATAATCATGATGCTGATGTACATCATAATGCCACCTGCTTCCATGAAACCAGTACCCACTGAAGTTAAGTTCTCTAATATTTCGAATAACTGGTTTTCTGCCGATGTGACTACATGAAAATCATAATTCAAGTTTGTTCTCAACTCGTTATTGAAAATCATACAAATGGATTCAATTTAAGGCTAAGCCTGATATCTGCACCATTTCAGAAAGAAATCTTTTTGAGTAGTTGTACATGAGACATGTAATTTTGACACTCTCGCATAAAGAAGACATCTGTCACTGAATTATACATTTGTTTCTGTACTTGGATTCCAAGGACAATAGAGATCTTCATAGAGAATTGTTTGCTATCGACTCTCCGCTGTTTCTATTTAAGATGTTTCTGGCTTGGTGAATATCTTGTCCTCACTTGATGCTTGTTGTTTTAATTTCCTGGAATTGTTACCAGAGAATGGGCACAAGTTTTCCGAAAAATTCATCCAGTTCGCCTTGCCCTTACTTTCCAATTTCCCTGTTGCTGTCGGTTATACTTGTTCCAAGCTTTTCTAGTCTTCTAAATTCGAGTTCGAATTTTACGAATTTCTTTTAGTCCAGATAATCTAAATGCTTTCTTGATTATATATCTTCCACCGTTTAGAAACAACTTTAAGTGATATAATATAATTTTTTTCTAAACTATAGTAAAGAACCGTTATCTCATAGACAGTGAAATTTGATCATTGTATTCCACGACGCAATGCAAATAGCTGGTTACGTAAATAACTGAGAGATTTAAAAGGTGATAAATGTTTCCCAATATCATATGTCTTTGTTTTACTTTTACTAATGTATCTAATTTACTTACATAAAATTGATATATCTGCAATTTATTGCATGTCCAAATGATAATTTTTATAAACCTTTATTACATTACAGCATTGCTTAAGGAATTTCTGATGACGTGTCTTAATTATTTCGATGCAAATTTATTATTTGATTTTTAGTGTTCACTAGTGGATACCTATGCGCAAAATTTGTTCTGTTAATTAAACACTCGACTTCCCCCTTCTTCTTTCGGAGATCCATTACATTCAGCATGGTTTGATTTTAACTCCATCTCCCTTTCATTATAAAAAGGAATCACGGTGTTATTTTTATTATAGTACCTACCCACTATTTCAGATATCGGCATAATAAAGCGAATAAAGTATGGCTTGAAAGACATCGATATTAAAAGCATATTAAATGTTTTTGTATTAATAATATTCTCTTGATATTTCCTTATGAATTTATTGACGTTATGTTATCGATTTGTACTGCTTTGAGCAGATTAGAACTGATAAAAAAGCATGTTTGCAGTGGTCTTGTCTTTCATTATAAGCTTTCGTATCGACGTCTGGTTTAAAGATAAATCAATAGTAAAAATGATAGAAAATGAAAGTGCTGCGTAAAAGTTTATTTAAACATATCTATTTGTCAAGTTCATGGATTCAGTAATTTCTTGCAATATGTTTCAACATCCTTTATTTAAATAACTTAAAAATAGGGTTACGTTTTGCTCTATTTTTGATATACAATTCATATTTAAATTATTTTAAGGAAGAATTTTCGTTTATAATGTTCTAAAGATTTTTTGTATATTTGACAAAGTTATAATTCTGGTATGTTGTTGTTATCAACACCTGAAACGCTTTCCCGTTGAAAAATAAAATAGTGAATTATATTACATACTTTGCCGTAGATACATCGTTTTCTTGATCAAATTCATCCAAAATATTGTCTAAGATTTCCAAAGAGAGCCTCACTTCTCTTGGAACATCTTTAAGTGTTCTGAAAAAAAAAATGAAATTTTCGTACATATATTAGACAGTTTATCTCACATAATAAAGCTGTATGTCACTAATAAAGAGGCCATAAAGCAAAAAGCCCAGGCACCTCCAGGACAACCCCTAAATTCAGTTACCGATACTGAACGAGCATCGAAACTATTAGACAGACATATTTGTTGCATAAGAGCCATATAACCCAGAAGAAATTTCTAGTTAGCGATAGCTTTATACATTTGGCCTTTTACAGTTTATAGTAATTGGAAAAGTTTGCTTCAGATGTTTCCTAGCACTAATAAATTTCTTTAAGTTGCAAGCTTTATAAATATTTCTTTAGAGTCCTGAAGTTGCTTCAGATTTCCACTAATCTAAATTATCTTTGTCAATAATAAATTTTTAGATTGAATTTTATATTATGTCACTTAAAGTTTTTAATTAATTTTATTAATAATATTTAAGCAATAATAATCGTATAATAAAAGAGATTATGGTATAAACGAGTAATATCTATATTTATAGTTGTCAATCAGCCTTTAAAATTTTTAATTTTTAGCTTTCGAATTTTCATATCAGAAATTTTTTAATAGTATCTTCGCTATCTAACCATTCGAGAGCACTTTTTCATTTAGTAAGCAATGATAAAATCTCATATACTAATGAATTAATAATTTTTAACTTGTATTATAACAAAGAACAATCTTTAACTGTTACATTACTTACAGACATAACAATTTTAGGTATTAAGAAAAGAAGATGTAATTTTTTATTTATTTTTTTTTCAAACCGGTACATTTCTCTATTCGCGAAATTTATCTTCTCGCTATTAAAATAAATGGTGTAGCTTGTGAGGATTTATCAATTTTTTTTAACTATAATAGTTGATTTTAAGTTAATTCACTTTTCTGTCACTGTCTGTTCACCCATGCTTTTCATGTCAGAATGTAAATGAAATAACAAAGTCGATTCAGATTGACAGAGAAAGAAGTGTTATTTAAGCGAAGGTTAAGCAAGTTATTTTTAGAGCATGTTTTGCCTACTTGAGGCCACTTTGTACCGTGACTTATTAGCGATTTGATTGCATGGCTTTGAGTGCTTCTAGCCATTAGGCTTGTCTCGCCTGTTTTTCTACAAACGAGAGCCTTTCCTGCACGTTACTTTATCCTGTGAGCCGTTAGGCTAATCTGTTAAATTTGATTTTAGTTCAACATTACGTATTTAAGTTAAGCCAGAAGTGTTGGCTTGTGGAAACCCAAGTTGAGTCCTTGTTACTTTTTGTGTTCAAATAAAAGGTCTTATAAAATCTTCCTCTGACCTTTGTTTTGTATCACAAGACTAGAAGATAATTCTTCTAGAGTCTTTTTAAAGTCCATATTGTTAGCTTCCTAAGAATGCAAGATTTTACAAGCTCATCGTCTAATGGTTATCTTCATCATCATACTTCAATGTAGATGAAGATAACCATTTTTTCCCTTTGAAAATATTCAATCTTTAAATCTAATTTCTGTAAAAATACTTAAAATCATTTATTAATTTCTTGATATTTCTATACATTTCGCTACCAATTCTGTCTCTAACATAGAACGTATTTATTTTAAAATTTGCTCGACCAACTAAACTGATATCACCAACTATTTGATTTTTCTTTTAAAAAAATCTTTTCCATTTTTTTTTCTTTTGGGTTAGCTTCAAATTTGATGTTTATTGCTAATGCCTCATTTTCACAGTGATTGTACTTGCCAATTAAATAATATATCTGTTGCAAAAAACTTTGTAGCAAACTTATGCAGGTCATCAAATTATTGATAGGCCTTTGTAGGATTACCTTATCAGTATTTGATCCCAAATAAGTGATTAGAACAAACGCCGGTTCCCTTATTTTTTCTCGGTATTGCTTGAAGGATTTTCATCTTGAGAGTATTAAAGCAAAGCAGTTCGCATTTTGCTATGTCCGCATCGGACTGCTCTTATTGCATCTATTTAGTATGACCGGCATGACCGACGTAGAACCACGAGAATATAAGAAACGTAACAAACCCTCTGGTGTGATATTAAAACCTAGACCCTTCCAAACTTTTTTCCACTAATAATTTTAATAATTTCATCGCGTACTGCAAATGGTAAATAATGAGAAATATAATAATATATTTCTCATTCTGAGTCATATTTTTGTTTATTAAGTGCTAAAAGTTTATCAGATTCAGTTAGAAACTCCAATGCTTTCTTGTAGTTCTCCATTACATTATTCAAATACTCCGAAACATTCATTATCGCCATGAAATTGAAGTGAATGTTTCTTTAAAATTTTTAAGTTCTGATCACTCTCTCAAGCATCTTCTTTCCGTATTTATCTCTTCCAAATGTTCAGTTTGAATGTTTGTGTTAGCGCGATCATATTTTTTGCTTCCTCAGTTAACGTGCACGCCATGTTTTCACGCTTTCAGTACTTTGAATGCCTTAGGAGATACGAGATGTACGAGAATAAAGACTGCAGAAGCCATAGACTTTTGCTACAAGTGACGATTTCCGATCTCTGGACGAACCAACAGTCGCTACTCTCTGATACTTAGGGTGACCAGAATTTAAACCTTCCAGAAGATGCATCAACGGCAACACCGTAAACAGTTCCGGTTAACGAACGATTTAACAATGGGACAAACTGTAGGCTTACGTACGGCTGGTTGGTCTTACCGTCATGTTGCTGCTGAACTTCTCTTAGATATATCCACTGTGCATAGAATTTCTTCTAGATGGATCGATGAAGAAAATACAAATAGTCACGAAAGGCCAGGTCCATCTATACGCACTATAGAATGCACAGATTGACGCATATGAAGAGAAGCGGTGGCGGGCTCACAGTCGACTATTATGGACAGGACTTCGAACGCTCCAGTACCTAAGAGAATAGTTTCCCGATGTTTAACTAAAAGGACTTTCACACAAGCTGCCCTTTGCGAAGACTACCATCGACGCGAAAGACTGCCAATGGTGTCATCAAATAACGACTTGGATATCTGAATGCCACAATGTAGTATTCAGCGGTGTGTCTCTGTTTTATTTGTCTGATGACAGTCACCGATTAAGATCCCGGAGGCGTTGAGAAGAGCCGATCCGGCTACTATTGCTGAACGCCACACCTCTTATCGTGGCAAAATAGTTTGGAGTGCCATCAAGCATGATAGCAGGTCGCCCCTGTTACGCATCAGAGGCACATTGATGGCACGACGATATAAGATGACGTGCTGCAGCCGGTTGTGCTGCCTTACATTCAGCGGCTGCAATATGGTATTTTCCAGCAGGACAGCGTGACACGGTACACGGCATTCATTAGAAGATAAACCTTGCAGCATGTTCCATTGCTTCCCTGGCCTGAAACATCCCCATGATCTTTCGCCGAACGAGCATATCTAGGACATGATTGGTCGTCGTTTGTCTGCTCTGTCCCAGCCGTTATCGGAGGACGAACATTGGAGGAGGGTTCAGAGCATATGGGCTTCCATTTAATCAGGAAACTATCCGCACACTAATTTAACTTGTACCTCGTAGCTTGAATTGACACAAATTGCATCAGCCGCGATAGGTGGTCGTACCTCTTACTGATTCCTTGTATATTTCATCACAGTATAAATTTATCTTTCTATAAATCACTTTACTTATTTACAAATGCATGCCCTGTCTGTGTATCAATTGACATCACATTCTACCCCATCGTTCATGCTGTTGCATTTTCGATGTTGGTCAGTGTATATAACTGAAAATAAATTCTTGGATCTTCTAATAATGACGGAATTATAATTAAAATTTTTAAATATAAATTTATATTATTTGAATGCAGTTATTCTTATGCAGGTCATGCCCTATGTTATTATATTTTCCTTTCTTTGAATTTCTTTTAATTTTCCACTTCGATTCTTTAAAGAGCACTTGTTTTTAGTCACGTATGAACAAAAATATTATGATAACTGAAATATTATATTTTAATTTTTAATGCACATTACTGAAAGGGTGTATTAAGAAGTTTCTTTAATATATATTTTATTTTGTACATTTTAGTGCATAGGTGGGGAAAATAATTAAGAAATCATTGCTCTTGCGCATAGAATAATTATTCTTTCTCATCAGTATAACAACGAAGTAACATCATTTTGCTTTAAATGTTTTTGTTTCCAGATGTTACGAGATCACTGAAGGAACCAAAAGTTACCACTCTGAAAATCGTAATGCGATACATGGAAAAACTTGTAGGAAATCGCTGGATTAAATATTTTTTTATAATCAATTAATCATTAATTTTTTTGTTCTTTTAAAAGAAAACGAAGAGTCAGTCTTAAAATCGATGAAAATTTTAATGTATTATAAGCGAAACATTTTCAGACGTACGAATTTAAATATATTTAATGTATAATGGACGCAGAAAAATTATGCATTTTAGAAAGTCATACAAAATCGGTAAATATGTTAGATGTTCGAAATAAATTTCATTAGGAAAATTATTTTCCACTCTGCTTCCACGTGTTAAAAACTCAAAATTCTTCAATGATTAGTTTAATTATTTTAAGCAAGAATACGTGAGGAAATTGCATAAAAATCACTTTAAATAAAATGTCTGTTTCAAATTTGGAAAATAATTGCAGAGAAATATTGAGAAATCCTATATATTACAAGAAAATACGCTTCAAATAAGTTTCTACAGAATAATGTATCCGCATATACACGCCAATATTGGCTAGTGGCGACCGTTAATTTAAATATGTTGTTTTTACCACCTATCAAAGTGTTTTTGTTTACTAAAGTAAGTGTCACCATTAAAAAAATTTACTCTCAATCTATTTATTTTTTTTATTAACTGACTAATCTAAGAGGAGTATTTTTTATGTTTAGAAAATTTTACCGCAATTGAAATGAGCTTATGATGATGCTTGTTTTTTATCTCTAATTGTCAAGTTGGGGCATATATCATTCTAGAGAAAACTGCTCTGTGTGTGTTGCTCTATATTGAAAAAGATA